CAACTTATCAATAAAGACACTGCAAACGAGCGAAATGATGAGAGACTTTATTCCACGATTTTCAATAAATAGTTATCCAATAATGGTAATATGTACAAAATATGTTGACTAAAGACAAGTTCTTTTTATATAAAGAAAGTGGTTGCTTTAATTTTTATACTTAACAAAATATTTAAATTTATTGTTCTAATTTATAGCTATTTTGCGTCTCCAGCACCTGGAGAGTATCGAGAAAATTTTGTTTTTCTTAACAAACACTTAGTACTTCTTATATTTCTTTTAAGTACTAAATATTCCTAATGCTGCTCATTATTATTTTTAAAGTTTCGTAAATCCGTTCTTGTCGGTATGGGAGAAATAATCAAACCTTTACAAACTTAGGCAAGTTGCTTGCAGGACTCGCCATACTCTACTTTTGCTCGAATTAAAAACACCAGTCTTTTCAATCTCTGGAAAGAAAACAAGGAAGCGGGTCTGCGCGTGTCGCGAAACGGTTTATTCAATCTCTTCAGTCCGTGCCTCGCTGGGTGGTGGTGGCGGCGGTGGAAGGTAAGTTAGCGGGGGCTTTCGTGCCCTGATACAGTGGAAGCCGTTGGACGCCTCCGGCTTGATCCACTCAACGTCCGTAAAACCATTGGCCTCCAGAGACATACTGTAGGCAAGCGCGTCCACGCGTGCAAAACGCATCATGCCGAGACGAGTGTAGAAGCGCAGCCGACTGGGCTGGAAGGCCGTAACTATGCGGCCACCGGGACGCAGAACGCGATGAATCTCTGCCAGTGAATCATCCAGAGAAGGCCAGAAGTAGAAGGAGTCCACGTGGAAGCAGACGTCCACACTCTGTGTGGGCATAGGCAGACGATGGACGCTGTTCTGGTGGATGGCTACGCGGTCAGCCTTGTGAAATGGTCTGAGATGTCTGTGCAGGAAAGAAAAGGCATGAGAGTATGAAGGGCCGGAACACTGACTCAAATGGACGGAAAAAATGAAATTTTAACTCTAGTTACTACACACAAAATACACTGCAGTGAACCTTAGGGATGAGTGCGAGAACTACGGCATCTTCGGGACCAATTGGCCGCTGCCTCCGTAAGCGCCTACGGGAAACAAACGGAGGAGAGTCACGAACACACTGGCTCCTTCTCCTGTACATAAAAATGTGTCAGAAACAACTGAACGTATCGCGGCAGAGCTCGGTGTGGGTATTGCTCATCATCCGACAGCTACCATGCGTTCGCGGGTCACGCAAACAAAATACCTACTAGAGGTGGGTGAGCAGACAGTCTGGCGCCGTTTACCAAGTGCCATGTCACGACTGTTCTTGTCATTATACAGGGCAGACCGGGAGACGACTTGGTTCGCGAATAACAGAGCACGAACGGACAGTGCGAAAAGGCGACCCGCTGTCCTCGATGGCTACTCACACTCTGGAAGAAGTCCACGAGTTCGACTTCACGGGCACACGGGCAATGGCGTGGACCAGTAATAGGACAGGGCGAGAATTACTGTAGAGGCCTGGATGTCAGACTCCAATCCCATCAATCCAATCCCATTTCCTCGTAGCTGGGCTACAAAACATTTCAATGCCGAAAGCTCAGGCTAATACAAGTGTTGACCTAGTGATCACGCCTTTGTCTTCTTTCTAAATTAAATAAGTAGGAATTATTTTTCTTGAACAAAAATAGCCGAGATGACAAAAGTCACTGTAGTTTATACTCAAGATGTGCCCAACAGTTCACAAGTACTTGCGCAAAGTATGTGCTCCAGTTATAATAGGCCTCGGTAAACAGTGGCCGTAACCGGCCGCCACCCAACCTGAGACAACTCGGCTACTGGACGCAAACCGAAGCTTAGGAGCCCTTTATGTTAAGCAGACTTAGGAAGTAGCAGAGCATGTAGGCTGTGTTGTACGCGACAGCCTACTTCCAAAAAGC